AATTACAATCGTTTAAAACTATGACTTCTTTAAATGCGTCTCTTACAACCATTCCGTAGTTGGATGATCTTGTACTTAAAATAAAAAGTTTAAATATAAATTATTACTTATTACTTGTTAATAGTATATTTAGAAAACAAAACATCTAAAAATTGAACAAAAAAATTATAAATAATATTTAAAAATACTTAAAAATAGTTGAGAGTAGATTTCATGTCATTCATTCAAAGTGTTTTTAAAGCACTGACTGATTTCAAGACTGGACATAGTCTTTATGTTAATAGAAATTTAATTTTTTATTGTTTGAAAGTTCTGAACATTAATAAAAGAAAATTTAAATTTTCTAATATGAATACTTCAGAGCTACAAACAAAATCAATTGCTTCCTTATACATATAAAATTTATTTTACAATGCATTTATTTATTTAAAAGAAAATTAATGATTGTTATTCTTTTATTATTGTTACTGTATATAATTAAGTTCATAAGTAAATAGCTTTATTTTTTATTATGAATAGTATATCTGTCTGCTCACTGTAAAAAATGTAAGCTTTAATTTTAATTGTCAAAACTATGTGATACTGATAATAATGCTTTATTTTTTGTTAAATGAAAAAAAAAAAAGTGGTGAGAAAAGATAATACTTTCCAAATACTCTCAAATTTCAACTTCCATATTTTCATTGATATAGTTTTCCTAACAAAGTTACCATTTAGGATAATCATTCTAACTTTTGACTAATCGTTTCTTACTATTCAAAATATATTTCAGTGTTGCGTAACCTAATAGTTTCAGAACGTATAACGTAGAAAATGCAACCTAAAATGTATTGAAAGCTTTTGGTGTTAGAGGTTCTGTTTTATTTTATTTTTCTGTGATAATCAGTAAGAGAACTAGTATTTAAATCATATTGTCGTCAATTTATTTATTTATTTATTTTTAAATTAAATAAACTAGAACCATTAACTTGTAAGGGAAGAAGAATGAATGTAAACAAATTAAATATATATTTTTAACTTGTGTAAATATTTCTCACTATATCTGTGGTTCATTCTTCTTTCCAGTACTTATTTCACTATTTTCCACTATTTATAATAGAGACAACATTGACCGTTTCTAACATAGACATTTAGTGAGATAGTAGGTACTAAAACAATGAAACTCGGCTGGTTCACAGGTAATTTTAAAAAATATATATATATATATTGTCTGGATGGAACCGGTTGAGAAAAACTATTCATTAATGTTCACGATTGGGTAAAATGTTAAAACATATCTGTCCTAGGTTTTTGCATTACTTTTATACTTTGCCTTGTACATAATTACATGTGTATTATATTTTGATAATAATAACTGTTTCAGATTTTTAAAAAAATTGTCATGGATATGTGCAATGTAAAAATGTGCAGCACGAGTCTGACCATGTAATCTAACAGTAACAAATAAAAATCTTAAAAGCATTGTTAGTTTTATTGAAAGTAAATCCTGAACACAATGTACCTTGAACTGTAAATAAATTTCAAATGATTTCCAATATGTTGAATATCATACTATTATTTTATTTTAAATAGTTTATTATCAACATTATTTTATTTTTATAGTTTAATGATCTGTAACAATGATAGTATTATATCATTCTATCCGCCCTTACTAATTATTAATATAGGGCAATACCCCTGGAGTAAAAATTATTTTCTTTCTTCTTTAATTATTACAAAAAATATATATAACTAAACATAATTTAAATTTCCCTTTGTCAAATCTAAACTAAGAAAATAAGGGATATCTTTAAATGTTATTAAGAATATACTCATTTAACATGAAATATCTTAGAACCCCAACAAAGAACAAGAAACCCCAAATGTAAATTACCTGAGACACTTTTAATTGGAAAATTCTTATAAAAGATACAACTAGAAGATAAATGACGACAAGATGGCGCACTGATTCTCCCAACTGAACATAGATGGCGTTCGATGACGAGAGTTGAGAAAAATAACCAACCAACCAGTTATATCCAGACTTGTAAATGGCCAATATGGTAAATATAACTAAAACTGATAAAAATAAAATTATATCGGTCTAAAATTCGAAATAACAAATTCGAACAATAAAAATGTTCAGTAATTATGCTTAATGTGATCGACCAGGAGCTTTACAATCGGACAGTAGCGTATTCAAGATTTAATTTCGGACGCGACTAACTTTTTTTAAAATGTTTTTAATAACAGTGATTACTAAAAATAAAAAAGATACACAATCAAACTAAAAAAAAAAACACTTTTAGTAACAATTTTTTTCTTACATTTAGTAGTTAAAGTGCGTTATAATTTAAAAAAAGATAAAATATTGTGAAGTATTCCCCTTAGATGACTCACAGAGACAAATATTAATCAATGGAAAAACAAAATATCTATTTTGGGAGGGGGGTGGGCACCAACTCTTAAGTCAGCCAATCAGCATTTCCACCATATTTTTTTAATTTCCCTTTTGGTTAATCAGTTTTTCTCTCAGAACATACTTAAAAAATCTCTTCCGCCCAAATATATACAAAATAATCCGTAATATTAAATGTAACTACACGTTTTATGACTATTAACACTATATTATTAAAAATAGATTAAACTGTCATATTGATAAAAATTGTTTCCCTTCACCTACCATGAGTTTATTAATTAAAATAAAAACTGTGTATACTGATGGTTTTGATTTTATTAGGTTAAGATACTAAAGTTATTAAAACTAATAACAATTAATATAATCTGGAAAAAGAATTACGTTTGGAAATAAATATTTATAAAACAAAATATATGAAATGTTAATTGCAGTAAGTTCTATATTTCAAAGAAAATCCAACAGAAATCAAATGAAGCGTGAAAAATAAGAGTACTGATAAACTATTTTAAAAAAATTAATAACAGTATGTAGAAATATAATTAACATAGGTCTGAATTTAATACATGCTAGCTGTCATAATAAACATGTGATTAATAGAACATAAAACAGCTGTTTCACAATAATTATGAAGATTTTTTCCTTTGCATTATAATATAAGAGGAAGAGACAGACAATTAAAAAAATAAAATATATAAGTATCAAGTGAAGAAGTACTACTCATATTTTAAAATAATTATCTTTTCTACTCAAACAAAACACTTCATCGATAAAACCAATATTTTTAAACATAAATAATTTCAGTGTTTGTTTTAAATTTTACTAATTCTTAATGTAAATTGGTTAACCACAATCTTCACAGCTTGATGTAGAAGTTCTAAAAAATTTTAATTATTCAAATATATAAATTACGAAGGAGATATTTCCCTTCCTTTTAGCAATATTCTGTACTTTTAAATATCCCCAAAGATGTTTTACCTGACAACCAACAATCAAACTCAATGGGAAAAATTGAATTATAGGATCCACATGAAATTATTTTTAATTCAGGAATAACACTAACATTCCAAAATTAAAAAAAGTGAAACATGGACTACTGATTTATTGTACATTGGATCCATTTTTAATACTGCTAAAATTTAATTACGCATTAATTAATAATAATAAAATCAAACGTACTAAATAATTTATCTTATTAGAAAAGGTGATACTCGAAGGGAAGCACCTTACGGCAAACCTATATTTTCTTCAGGCTCGAGATTGGGACATCACAATTTTTTTTTCTTTTGGAAAACAAATTTTCTCAATAATTTTGGTAGATGAAATAAAAATTATATAATTTCATTATTAGGAAAAAAATTTCCTAACACTTTTAATAGGTGAAACAAAATTTCCTGGGAATTACTTATTACTTATATTTATTAGAAAAATTCTTTGTTCATTTGGTAGAGAAATATTTTAATTTTCCCAACTCGTTTAACTTACCTGTTAAAAAATTTTACACTTTAAAACAATAATTTTATTGTTATTATCATCAGGATTGATATAGAGAATTTATGGTGAATGTAGATTTCTATAATTGTTGATTAATTTTCTTAAACTACTTTAACAAAAACCGTATCATTTGAGTTCTCGCCCCTCATCAGACTATATTTTCTTAATTTAGACATTATTCTATTTATTTGGCCAAATCATCCATAATTTAAGCTCGTGATTGAATATTTTTTTAAATAATATCATACATAATCGTATATAGAAAGAGTTTTGCTAGTTCATATTATCACTCTCTTGGTTCACAACTGTGAATTACACGCCTTTTTAGTAGAACCAACGAAAGACCAAATGGTTATGAAATGTATACACAAACGCTCCGTAGTTTGTTTGTAATGGTTCAAAATTTCAAAGCAATAAGTGAAGAACTTTTGGAGATCAGTGGTTTTGAACAAATTAACATTTACATTTTTATTTAAATATCTGTTTCCAAAAATTTTTATTGATAATAACAAAGCTCGTCAATAGCTACTAAACAAAGAAAATTGTTTGAAAAATAGGAGAAAAAGGTACTGAACTATTTGGTCTTTGCCTATTAATATAATTATTAATGATTTGACTGAATAAATATATTATATATAAAATAATGTCCATCAGATGATGAGTGAAACACCCTAAAATGGCATATTATTAGTGAATAGTTTAATTAAATCAATCAATAATCATGGAAGTCTACAAGAAAATTTTTTTCTGTAACATTCATTTCCTTCTTTATTCAAACATGTCATTTTATCGGTAAAAATCAAATTTCTTAGCTTCAAGGGTTAATCCATTTGAACTAATTTTGTGGCTTGACAATTATGATTTTAATTATTATATTGCCTTATTTAATGAAGAATTTAAATCTATCTCACATTTTTTTTAATGGAGCTATTATGAATTTGTTTGACATTTTCACATATGTTTCCAGGTGAAACAGAACTTTTAAGACTTTTTTTTTAATTTCTACCCAAACCTAATTTTTTTTATAAGAAGAAAGTTAAATTGAATAATGTACACATATATATTAATACATCGATAGTTTAGAATAAAGTCAGAAAAAATAAAATTAAACTTTTATTTATTATTTAATAAATTTTAGATCAATTTTCACCAACAAATCTTTATATTTATATTACATTATTTTCTCTTAAGATACGATTATTCTGGAGCTACTTTCAAGTCAAGTATTTTCATTTTAGGTACCTCATTTTAAATAAAATTTCACTTTTTTAATCATAAGATGATTCTGATAATGCAAAAGTTGAAAAAAAAAAATCTGGGAGTTGAAAAACAAACAACCAAAATAATTTGAAAATATAATTTATATTACAAATTACTTATAAATATAATGGGGACAGTATAAATAAATTTGTTTTGTTATAATTTAAATGCTTAGTAATTCTTATATCTTGCACATGCAGACGCAGTTTGTTACATAACTAATGAATTTCTATATAACTAAAAACAAAAATGAACCGAGAGGAAAAATTTATTAAAAATTAGAGAAAAAGTGATTTTTACAAATTCATTTTAGTCTAATCATAAGAAGGTAAACATCATAGACTTCTTAAACAGTGTTGTAAACCCTTTAATAGGGAGATAAGTGATATTAAACATCCTTTCACATTTTAGCTTAAAGGAAAAAAATATATTTTTCAATAAAAAATTAAATATATGACAACATAATGCTGATAGGGGAAAAAATGAAACAGTCTATTATCAACAGGGACCAGATTTATATGCAAATGCATATTTAATTTTAACAAGTATAAGTATTTTTAAAGCAGATGGCATTCCTAATTGTTGCTCTTAAATTTAATTAAATCTATTCCTATATAACATACATTTGTGAATGAAAGTATTTTGAAACAAAATTTCATTTTTCATATAAATTAAAATTTGAGATAAAGAAAAGAAATGAAAAAAAGAGAAAAAAACATTTTAAAAAAGGATATAATTGTTTAAAGAAGACAAAAATGTGTTACTCTCTTCAGTTCAGTTGATGAAAGATTTTTAAGAACTTAAAAATGTTGTCATATTTTAAATACTAAAATCAAATTTCTTAATTATTGATTTTCGATAACTGAGAAAAATTTGTATCCGACATTTTCTTTTTCTCAGAGTAAGAATATTTTTAGATCAAATAAAATAAAAAAATTAATCAATAAAGAAAAATTTATTTTAATTACATATTTCAAGATTTTTTTATGCATAAAAATCTGGTGCCTGTAATAATTGATAAATTAGTTTAAATTAATATATAATTGCCCTTACCTAACATTGCAATTTCTAATTGTAATAACAATGCATAAATAAGTATACTATATGGCCATCATAATAATATAATTACAGAATAAAAGGGACAGTTCATTCATTTTTATAATCATTTATTTCCTTACACACTTATGCTCACAAAGAATGCTCAAAGAAACATAATATTTCGTCCAATGCATTTATTTATGTAAATTCTGAACTGCAATGTACATATTTACACTTTTCGCAATAAATAGTCATACCTGATAAAATAAATTTCAAATCATTGAAATGATAATCAAAAACAAATAAAAATTTATTGATAGTTAAAATATGTTGTAAACCTTAACGTACTGACATAATTTAATCATGATTCATTGATGTAAAAAAAAGTACTACAAAATTAATTTTTAAATAATAATAAAAAAAAAAGTAAAATAAAGTAATTTTATTTTATTGGGTAACTATACCAACAAATGATTCACTGTTTGTTTATACAATATATTCATAAATATATATATATTTACAGTTATATTTGTACTTGTTAATTCAAATTTCATTCCAAAATAAAATAAAGTGAAATATTTTTGTGTTTGATTAAAATTGTAGAACACAAAGCAAAAAAAAAAAAAAATGTTTTAAATACCTACTGTTGAACCTCGATATAACAAACTTCCATAATTTTTTTTTTTTTTTTATGGGATCCGTAAGTTTTTAAAGTTTCACAAAAACTTTCTGAACATCTATTAAAATTTCTACCATCGAACAAACATTTTTCATGTCTGATAAAACATACAGAAGTATTACTAACAATGTCATTCAGTTCAAGATTTATATATTATTTTCTGAAGATTTTTTTAACTTCTTTGAGTTATTAAAAAAGACTACTTAGCAAATTTTAACTATTAAATATATTATACTCAGAGAGAGTTTTCTCCAAAATAATAAACATCACAAAATAATCTGTTTCATGTCATAAATATTATATATAAATCTACAATAATATACATAAGTATTTTAATGTTAAAGTTTAATTCTTAAACCATAAAAATTTAACTGGAACCATTTTTAGGTTATAAAACATATATATGTACGCCAAAGATGAAAAAACATTTTTTTTATAAATTGAAATTACTACAAATCCAACTATTGTTCCATAAATAGAGGTTCAACTGTAAACAGGTCATGATTTGTTAAGAAAAAAAACAAACTATAAAATTAAAATAGTCATCTTCGGCTTAAATATTTTTATTCCCCAATCAAGAGTAAATAATTGTTTTTTGATTAAAACAAAACCACAAATTAGAAAGAAATCTAAACTTTAAATGAGGTATAAATTTATTTGTACAATTCTTTATATTAGAAGGAGATCGTCTCTTTTTATATTTCATAAAAAATCTCAAAAGTAACAAATGTTTACTATGTGTTACTTACTAGCTTATATGTAATCTTTCTTTCATTATTATTACTTTTTTATATAAAAATGATTGAGCTTAGTTGAGATCTTAAACAAACTTACAAGTTATGATCCAAAAGAAAGGAATTATTTTATTTTATTTTTTTAAATAAAAGTAAATTGATAGAAATATCTGAAAAAGTTACCACAATAAAAGCTTATAACTTTTATTTTTAAATTTACTTAACATACAAACAATTAGGCCTTAATTACACGAGTTATGAAAAGTGCCCAATAATGTGATTTAAATAAAGAATAAATTCAAACAAAAATATTTAACCAAGCATTATTAATAAAGGAAATGACAGTAGTAGATCGATCTAGGGTTAAGATATATTAAGTTCAATTGTGTTGCGATATCATACTCGATAATAATCGTAATGGTTGACACTCTTATAGTTGGTATAAGAGCGCCCCAGAATCACATATCTTTGCTGGGTTTTATCCTCTTTTCACAACTATAATGCTAATCAAAATTATCGCATAAGAAAAGCAACAAAATTGAACATAGGTATTCCTTAACAATTAACCAATTCTTTGCTGTTCTTTCCTTACTGAAAAAAACAAAAACATGTTGCTCTTTAAAACTATAATTAAAAATTTTATATCCATACGGTAATTTCTCTGTAAACAGCTTCAAATGAAAACTACATCAATATTTAAGTTTAAAAAAATATTAATAAAAAAGGAAGATTTATAATTAATCAACAAAATATAAATTACTTAGACCGTCGAAAATGTTTGTAGTCATACCTGTTACTATCCCTCTGATAGGGAGCCTTTTCGTACGATTTCTTTGAGGAATCACCACTACTATGTCTACCCTTGTGTTTAAAATTATTATTAGAATAATTATTCATATTATGACATTTCCCATCGTCACCTTTTTGGCTAGGATAAACATTTAAATATCCTGGCATAGGTTGTGTCCATGCACTTCGTTGACGGAAATCCTCTGAATTTTTATCTTTATTTTTTGAAGGCCTCGTTGGTTGCATTGAAAAATCATTGTACCTCCTACTGATTGAACCAGGGGCCGTTCTAAGACTTGCATTATTCTCAGAGTGATGCTGACCGGCCCCTCTGGGATTTGCATTATTCTCGGACGGGCGGGGACCAAGTCTATCTTTAACATGCATTCTTGAAGGAGGGCCTCTATAGGGAGCTTTTTGATAATTGCTAGGACCTGCATATTTTAAATAAATAGGTCGCCCATAGAGAGTAATTTGATCCAAAAGAGCGATTGCGTATGGAACAGATTCTTCATGTGTGAATATAACAAAGCCGAAATTCCTGGACACACCGTTTACCTGTGGTATCCTCACATCTTCTAATGGTCCAGCCTGTTAACAAGTCATCAAAGAAATCAATAACAATAACGATATTCATGATAAGACAATGATAAGGAATTAATCTTCCATTATAGTTGCATATAAACCTTTACCATTATATATAAAAAAAGAATAACCATCCTGAAATGAAAAAAAGAAAAGCTACTAAAGCTAGAAAGAAAAAAACCTACTATCAGCCACATGTAGTGATAATGTAATAGGTACAAACTAATTATGAACTTAATCTTTGAAAATGTTTTGCAACCATTCAGTACACAATAGACAGTTTACAAACTGGATGCCACAGCAACCTGGGCAGCCACAAGAATATGCTAGTGTTGTAAAAAATAATTTCAATAAATATAATATTTAGGATTAAAATTGTGAATTCATTGCATTCACATTCTAAAAATTCATAAATTAGTGACAAAATTAAGATTAAAGTAAATCAAATGTTGATTATATCTGGGTAAAATTTTGTTCCACTACAAATGCATTTATCTTTTATTTAAAGACTTGATATAATGATTACGAAAAAAACACTTTATATGTTTCTTTATCTTCACAAAACGCCAAAATATGGGTGCATGAAACTTTTAACTGGATGTCAAAATAGGTTTAATTGGAAACAAAATGGCAGACGGTAATGCCAAGTTTCAAGGATCATGACAAAGGTATTGAAATCCTGAAAAATCAGAAGAAATATTAAATTAAGGGTGTACAATTCTATGATAAAGCCTATTATAATACATGGCTGTGAGACCTGGACAATAGGAACAGATAGGAAAAAGAATTGAAAGATTTGAGAGAAAAAGACGGGGCAATACATCTAGAATCCTCTGTTCGACAATGAATGCCTCAACAATAGATAAAAGACCAGTTGGAAGGCAAAAAGTTAGATGGATAGACCGAATCAATAAAGATGTAATAGAGCTTCATGCTGATAACTGAAAAGAAATAGCCCAATATAGGCAAAGATGGAGTAGGCTTGTTAAGGCAGCAAAAGATCTACTAGGTCTGTGAAGGCAATAGAAAAAAATATATATAAGTATGTATATATCTTGAAACATAGACTTAAATTTTGATTCTACGAGGTTTTCTTAATCAATCATAAAACTTCATTATTGAAAATAATAAACCAAAATCAATGTGTTAGTAATAAATACAAACATACACACATATACATATATATATGTTTGTTCGGCTAAACTCTGTTACAATAAATTTTTGTAATTTTTTCAAACTGCCAAAATTAGCTATCAAACAGCTTAAATTGAATATTTAAAAGGTGAGATCCCATGGAGACTTTCTCAACCTTCACAGAATTCCTAACTGTGCATGCGCAGTATAAGACACTATCCAGCCACAACTATGGGACAAATTTAGTTTATATTTCTGGATAATGCCAGCAGGCAAGTCATCTATTTAGAAAATGAAGATGGAATACTATGGCATTTTGGCTAACCACTTGTTGATAGATTCACCAAAAGCTAATCTTAATTCCAATAAAAATCCTGGTTAATGTGGTCCTTTTTGAAGAATGTCCACCGGTTCAAGGATTAACCACACTCGTCTGAAATATTTCAATATATATAAAATGCACTTCGAAGCCAGAAAGAAAAAAACAAAACACTTTGAAGGGACTATATATTCTGTTATAAAAATGACGCATCCAAAGAAAGAGGTTATGTAATACAAATAATAAACATAATATGTTAAATTTCAAAGTTAATCAACTGAATAGGCCCACTTATCTGCCATAAATATAAAACTAATGGTTTTACATTTTAACTCTACTCGTTAATTATATTTATTTTTTTAGTACAAGAGAATAAACGTTATATTTAAATTTTGGTGATTTTTATTAATGCTTTGATAATTAATTTAAACTTTGACTTAAATCATTACAATACTCAATGAAAAAAAATATAAGATTTTCTTTTTTGTTTAAGAAGACTTCAAACATGGGCTAAGAAAGAATGTTTATTAAAAAGAGAAAAAGCACAAATAAAACATAAAAAACAAACTTTTTGATTGTTTATATTAATTATAATTATTGGGTCATGAGAATTTTTAACTCTTAAAGATGGTGAATATGAAAACAAATCAATGAAACAGGACAACGGGAATACTGAAAACTAATTTTGTAATCAATCAATATCAGTAACAGTACTTATGTAAATTGTACTTTAAAGCTTTATCGCAGATATTGTTTACAACTGATGACAGTAAAAGAGCCATTCCGCACTATTAGAGACTAATTAAGAATATATAAAAACAGCCTTCATTTAAAAAGATTTAATTCTAAACATAATTAGCCATATCTATGGATTTTATATATGCCATACAAAATAATTATAATATAAAGAAATTGACCGTTTTACGTTGTATAAATATATATATTTCTTTACTATATTCAATAATTTAGGCCACTAAGACTTAAAAACAAAAGCATAATCAAATTTTGGTAATTACAAATTCTAAAAGTAAAAGTTATGAGAAATGTATCATAAGGAATTATAAAAACATAAAATTGATATTTAAAATAAACTTAGAGAGACTAAAATTACTAAAATTCAATATATTATTTTACAATTATATATAAGATAGGTTATGTTTTACTGACCTGTAAAAATAGCTCATATAACAGTTCTTCAGTGACTTTTTCATCTAAATTTCTTATTAAAACTGAAGTTTCTTCCTGGCTCATCATTTTGACGGCAAATTATTATTAGTTTGAAGGAATTAAACTTAAAAATACAAAATTTTAAAATACGAACTACATGCCCGCCATATTACCTTCGCCTTTCTGTTACTGATTTTATTTTTTCTCTTCTTTGAGGGCATATCAATAAAAAGCTGTATATTTAAATTAGATATATTTTAATTGAATATTATTATAGTTCAAAGAAATTCCAAACCACTCAAGTTTTCAAAAGTTTAAAAAAAAAAATAAACCTTATCAGGTGATTTCGATTTGAACTTATCTTCGGAAGAACTTTGTTTTTGTCAGTTATGGAGGAATTCACGAAGAGCTTGCCTCGCTTAACTAAAACTAAAGGCACCAAAGCTTACACTTTCCGTAATTACGTAGCTTTAACAGTTATTGGTTTTGGATTAATCTCAGGTTTCAGTTTATAGTAAGATTTTTTAAATTATCCTGTTAATTTATAAAAAAATATGAATCTAATTTAAAAAAATTAATCTGAAGAATATGACATGTATGTAAAATCCTGTTAATCATTTAAATGTTTCTCTTGGTTTGCTTATTTTATAACTTGTCTACTTTTAATGTTGATCACTACTAGAAATAAGAAATCTTCACATAACCCAGTCTTGTTATGTTGAAGTATGTTTTATTCTACTTTAAGTTAATGTTAATTTTAATTCAAGTTGTCCAAGTGAATTATCCAGTTGCCTCTTAATAATATTATACATCATGTTTCCTTATTTAGAATAGAATAGAAAATCATCTTTAATCTGGGACTAGCTCCCTTAAGAATAACAATATTGTTCATATAAATAACAATAAATCTGGCCAAAAGACCTATTACAATAAAGAATAACTAAAATGCAAATAATAAAATAAGTATATAGATAGCTCTTAAGATGTATTAACGAAAACAGTTGGGTAAATTGGAGCCAAAACAATAACATATTAATCACTGAATGAAATTAGAAAGGAACGCCAAATAAATTTTATTGACAAAGCATTGTAGTGATGAAATTTTAAAAAAATCACTACTGTAAATAAATTATTTACATATGTTCCATAAGATGTTTAAGTGAATACACAAAGATTAGGAGAAGAAAAAAAATGAAATGAGATATATATATACATACAAATGGAGAGGAGAGATATTTATATCAGCAGTTGTATAAGTTGAGAAGAATAGTTATCGTTTAAACAGTGAGATTTCAAAATTTATCTTGTCCATTGAAGCAGTGAAAATGTTTTCATTTTAAACATTCCAAAACCTATTGATAATTGACCTAATGCACAACATTTTTTTCGATTATCTAAAAACTTTATTAAATGGTTCTAAGGTGTTTTGAAATTTTATTACTCAAGACAGAAGATCTAAACAACCAAGTTTGAAGCTGATATTTATTTTTTGTTCTCCACTTCCTCACATTTTTTAGGCTACATGGGAATTTTCCCAGGGCAGGGGATTAATGCCAGAATTAAAAGCCCCTCTTTTTCTGGCACTGGGACGTGAACTCGTAAGTAATCATTTTAAAGAACACAGAGTAATTGTTCTAGTCCATACAAGATCAATTTAATCACAATGTACATGGAATATCCAAAAGTAATAGTGTTCCAAATCATATAACATCCTCTTAAGATTATTTGTGCAGGTATAGGTAATTTTTTTTTACCCTTTCTGTAACCTATTAATTAATAAAATCTATCAGCAATGCACGTTGATATTAATTATGACCTGCTTAATTCAAGTGATATATTAACACTCCTTGAAGTTTTCTAAACACATAAGTTTTAATCTTGGAATTATTAAATGATTTTTTTTAACAGTGAACTTTAGTTTATATCTTGAGGTGTAAGGATTAATCAATTTACAAGTTTTAATATTTGTAAAACATGTCTTGTAAATTTTGTTATAAATGTTAGTTACAAGCGTCAGTTCTTGAAGTTATTAACATGTTTTGAACCAATGCGGTCCCAAGTACTACACTGTTAGTCTTTGTACAGTGTTTGATCCATCAATGAAGAAGGGCATTAGGAATTTTTACTTTTTTTTTATATTAATGCAGTTAAAATGCATAAAACACTTATTTGTACTGCTAGAGCAATTTTGTGTTTTCTGATTTGTTCAAACTTTGTTTTTAGGAATTTATAAAAAATGTTTAAATTTTTTAAAAATTATTATAAGTTATCTAAAAGTAATTAAAAAAAAATTAATGGTCCTACCATAATTAATATCGTAAATCTCATAGGGCTGAATGCGTTAATGATGTTTTGTCTTAATATTTAGAATTACTCAATAAATATGTGCATATTAAAGACTCATACTTGATACATTTCATTTTATACGATTTTATCAATTAATACATAAATCTTACTTTTTATCGTATAGTTTATTGAAAAGCTTGGATCCAAAAAAACTGGAATTGCTCGATGAAAAAGAACATGAATTAAAGAGGACAAAATTGACTTTGCCTTTTTATCTGGCCCCCAGAAGTTGATATGAATTCAGCCTCTTTCAATGATAAGCAGTCTGAACTCTTAAGTACTCATATAGATGCCTCTGTAGGTCAGAAGTAAGTTATACTAGTTTATTATTTTATCATATAATTTAAAAGTTGATATATTATTTTAAAATGTTTGTTTTAATTGTACACTTGTTAACAAATTGTATATTTTCCATAATATCCCTTTGAATATAGTGAGGTTGTCTTTTTTCTAGCTAGTAAGAGATATATTCGTTAATATAAGGAGCAGAGATCATGATAGCCTAGTATGTTGAGAAGGGGGTTTCGAAGTGTCCAGTACAGGAAGGTGTGGGTTTGATTCTCTCCTCGGTCATTTAATATTTAATTGGTAATTGACTTCCGATGTTTCTGAGAAATGAATCCACTCCTACTCTGGTTAGCATAGGAAGGGAAGGCGCAACATCTACGTAGACATCAGTTGTTGGCAAAAAGGACCTCCTACTTGGCATCTATTTCTGCTTACCAATAAAAAAAATAGTTGCAATTAAAATTTTCAGGCTAAGGCCTCGTTTCCACTATGACCATTACCATGACAGTGAAAGCTATTGTAGGAACTGCCACAATCACTTCCATCATGTGTGACTGTAACACACTTGCTGTTTTGGTTGTATTGTCGCAGTAGCTACAGTTATTGTCATATTAACAATCTGCCAATACACTGTTGCACATTATATAGACTGTCCAACAAACTTATCAAATCATATCAACTTTAATGGTGATAGTGCAGGAAAAAATTATTCTTATGTAATGTTGTGTTTTGATTATCTCTGAACTTGAGTTGGATTGTTTGCAACATTTTTACCTCATTCCAATCTTAAAAGGGGAATAATATCTGGGATATATGCAGGGTGAGGAAAAATGTTTACTGCTTGAAATTCTGATAATTTTTTTCTTGGACAAACAAGAACGATGTACAGGGGCATTGTCGAATGGCTTTGCGACCTTATTTGGGGTCATTTGCAAAGCTTATTACCATGCCTAAATCAAAGTGTAGCAGTATTTCAATGGATAACTTACTCTCCTTCTATGGCACAAATTTCTTCTGCGGCTGGCTTTACACTTAGACCTTTTTTCCAGTGATGCCTCAAAAAATCCACAGTTTTTTCTCCTACCATCATATGTGTATTAAAAATGTAAATGACCCATAAAGCTTATAGAAGTCATGGAATTGATGAATTAGTCAAAGTAAACAATGACGTAAATAGTAGAAACAAAAGCAGTCCTCTAGGAATTATTATGAGAGTTGGAATTAAGGTTTGTGTTCATGCACGAGGACTTTTGTAACAACCTAGTAGAACCACTCATTCCTATTTCCCAGATAGTAATTATAGTCATTCCATATACAATATTTTAGATTTGTAATGAGTTTATTATTATTATAAGTTTATTATTGCTTCCTCACTACCAAAGGTAGGAAAGCATTGTATTTGTGAGAGAGGTTAAAAAAACAAAAAATGTGCTCAGAATCAAAAATCTCCACTCGTGTTTTACGTTTCAGACATCAAGGATCAAATTTGGTCGTTTTCTGTCTGTCTGTAGTCAAATTGATGTAACTTTAAGACAAATCACCTACTTCTGTTTATCCGATTTTCAGGAATTATGTGGGTTGGTGTACAGTTGGTCCCATATCAATTTTATTAAATTCTAACAAGCACATTCAAATGCACAAACGTATTATTGTAGATATGCCAATATTTCAGAAATGGCTCGTTCAATATGACTCAAAGTTGGATAAATGGTGAGTATTTGTGAAAAAATAATGTAGGGTGAATTTTATTGAATTCTGTCCATTACTATCTCTTATATATGCACAAACTTGTTTTCCTTGATATATCTATATCTCTAAATCCGCAAATTGGGGAGAATTTAGGGGTTAGTAAATATAAAATGAAATGGGCATCAATTTTATTAAATTCTATCTAATACTTAAATAAAAAATACTTCCGCTTTTAGATCAGAAAATGTGTTATTTGATATGCCTATAGTTTGAAAACGGCGCATTCGATTTGACACAAACTTATTCGTGATTGTGTTTATTTCTATTGAAGTTCAACCAGCTTGTCGGGGTCTCAATTTTCTCCTTAAATATCAAAATTGTGTCAACTTCTCTCATATTTTTATATTCCAGCTTAATTAATTTTGTTCTGACTGAAGTAAAGCATTGGTCTTGTCAACTCTAAACAAACAAAAAGTTTAATTTTTCCTATGGATTTTTGGTTCCATCCATTTTACAAGTAAAAACACCTATTAAGTATATATAACTACTGTTAGTGCAAAGGTTGTATGTAAAAGTTTTTAATTTTTATTCTATTTTTGACATTATGTAGTCTGTAATTGATATAAGTAGTCTACTACTATGAAAAATAACAGAGGGTAATAAAATATAGAATTATACTAATAAATCATAAAGAAATAATTAGTTTTTATACTCTCCTGTAAAACACTTAATTTTTACATGCCATTTGCACTTACAGTAGTGAGATACATATTCAGTATGCACAAATTGTTTTTTTAATTACGAATTATCAAATATGCGATCTGCAAATACTTTTGCGCATTTTAGTATTTGCTGATAAACAAAATTCGTAGATATCAAGCCCGTGTATGTTAAGGGATTACTAAATTTCCGAAAACGGCTTCTTCCAGAGATTTTGTTCTCATAAGAAAATTGTGAGACCTTTTAATATAGATATTTATTAGCAAATAAAAACGGTAAGGAAGCTATGCTGACCTTACTTGGCAGACTTTTTTTTTTCATTTTATTGATTTTTTTTCTCATTTCTTTCAGCTTCATTGAAGGAGTACAAATTATTAATAGTACAGATGCAAAATCTCCTACGATATCATCAAGTTTTGATAAACCTGGAAAATTTAGTAATGAAACAAAAAAAGAAAGCATAGCTGAAACTGATGATAGCTTTGATATATTTCTTCCGTTAAAAGTTAAAAATTACAAAAATGGCTTAAAGAAGCCGAATACTGCTACATCCGCGAACAAGCTTAAAAAGAAAAAAATAACATCTTCAAACAGAATCTGCCCTTATTTTTCTAAAAGGAAGTCGCCTACAAGCTCCAAAGAGGTATTATTTATTTAGATCAAGTTTAAGAATTATTTCACATTCCCTTACTTAAATATGAAATATACATATTTTGAGGTCTCCAAATAATCAGGTATTGCAAAATTATCTCTATATGTGTGTCTGTGTCTATGCTGTTTGAATCTGAACAACGTAGTTCAAAAACACAAAAAGTCGTTCAAAATTGAAATTACATATTCAAGAAAGATCTAAGCTTGGGATGTTACAGCAACTTTTTCACAAAAATCAGCTAACCATAAGTGGAATATTATTTCATCGATTGTATACAATTTTCTTGGTTTTATACATTGTAACGGTTTTGATTAAACTCGTTAGGTAAATATAAAATAAAATAGTGTTTAATATCAAATAAGTATTTAACAAATTTTCAAAATTACTTTCTCTAAAGTACCTGTAATTTTGTTTATTTGAAATTATTAACCATCTCTCATTGTCAGTATTAATGAAAAATGGATTACAACTATGAAGTAATTTGATAATTAACTGATGTAAAAAATATATTTTCCAGGTTGAAATAAATCTTTGGAAATAAGATTAGTAATAAATATGTATAATATATCATTGAAAAATTGAGGCTATCAGACAAAAGAATGTCTTAATGTATGAAGTCAATGGAGATTAAAGAAAAAACTAATGAATAATAATTTCTGAAAATTAATATTATTTAATGAAGATTGATGGAAACTAAATTAAATTTTTAACGCACCAAATCAACATTCTTGAATTGTATAAAATTTATTCTACTATTGTTAGAAAAGGTGTGAAGACATACGTGCTGATGAAAATATTGTGTCTGACATGGTTTTTCTTCTTTTAATTTTTTTTTTTTAAATCATCAAGATTTTCATTCTAAATAAAAAAATGTTTCTGTTGAAAAAAAAAATTTTTTTCATTTCATTCATTCAACATGAGTTGACCCACATACTTGGCTTGAAATGGCAACCATAATAAACAAATTTAGACTGAAAATATTGACTATCTTCCTTGGTAATTTTCAAAGATCTATTTGCAAATTATTTTATTTTTTATTATGAGTCCATGTACAATTATGAAAACATAAATATGAGAGTAAAATAACATTTTGTTATTGTATTTATTTTGCAGGATAAAGATCTAGAATTAGCAATAGCACGCTCTTTAGAAGACGTGTCTCCCAGCAAGACTACAGGAGGAGTTTTAAGTGATATTGTAAATGAAAATAAACCTTGTGATACAGTATATGAAAAAAAAGCAGTCAAACAGACTTCCAACTTCTTGAAAAGTTTAACAAGTAAGATTCACTTCATCTTTATTTCTTGATCGTATGTGAATGGCTTCATCTTATCGTAACCTACAAATTTTTTATTTACAAAAAATCTAGGAAATGGGGTGTTTTAAATCTAGAGGTCGGTTGTATATTGTCATGGTTCACCCCGTGTTTTTTATGTATATTAAGGAAAGGAAAAAAAAAATTGCAGAAACTATTTTACTAAGCCAACATTTCAACCCAACTATGCAGATCTTCATCAAGACTAGAGACGAGATACAAACTCAGCTCCTCTTTGCCACAATGCCAGACTCCAAAATAGCAGATCCACACCTGTTTTCACCGCAAACTCCGTCTTCTCTTCATCTATTGCCTTGCCTTCTTCTTCTTTAACTTTCTCGTTATGCCTTTCAGTGTCGAGTTAGATTAATCTAACGCAGGATCTCCATCTAGCTCTATCACTCACAAGAGTTGTCATCTCCTGCAGTTTCTTTCCTCTCGCTTGTCCCAACTTTGAAATATAGCTATTATAGCTAAGCCTTGGTCTTCCTCTATTTCTAGTACTTACTGGTCTTGCTTTCATAAATCTGAGTGGGTCAGAATCAGGACATGTCCATACCATCCTAACTGTCTCTTCTCTAGGGTCCCCTTCATAGCAAGAATGTTTAGTTCTTCTGCTTGTTTTTGAGGCCACTTTGTGCAAGTATTTCATCTCGGGTGTAGTTATTTGGCTCCATTTGTTATCTGGGAGGACCCAGCTCTCTGCCCCATACAGCAGAATAGGCATATATAATTGGAAGTGTGGAACTTCACATTTTTATTAACCTCTCTCTTTCCTACTACTGTGTTAATGAAATACTAAAGACTATTAGCTTTTCCTATCCTGTGGGAAATTTCTGTTAAGACTTTTCCATTTCCGCTGATCACAGTTCCATTTAAGGTAGGAGAACTCATTTATGACTTCAAGCTCCTCATTATTGCACGTTATATGTATTTGATCGGACTCTCGTCCTCCTTGTAGGATTTTGCTTTTTCTACTATTAATATTCATGCCCTTCCTTCCCAATTCTGCTTCCCACTCTACTAGGGCTTGCTAGAGGTTATTTGTAGAGTCAGCAAAGAGGAGAATGTCCTCAGCATATACCATTACTTGTGCCAGTATGGTTCTCATATTCCAATGCCCAATTATTGCCCTTGCTGTTCTCCTCTTACAAATTTTTATTTTTTCAAAGTGGGTATGTCATTGATATAGTGGTCCCAACCGATGATAATATCGGAAAGATTACTTCTGAAAATATTAGGAAATTTCAAGACTTGTGCCAAGAGCTTCGGCAACTTTTCAAAAATCGGCAGTTTTTTTGTGGCGGCTAATAGGTCAGAAGGGGTGAAGGACAGGTATATTTGGAAATCGTCAGCATAGATGTGGTATTGGGAGTGATGGATCAGGAAGGGAAGGTCATTAATGTAATTAGCAAACAGAGTAGGAGATAAGGAGGAACCTTGAGGGACACCTCAGGTGAGGGGAAGTGTCTTTGAAGGAGGTTGATCTGGGATCGATCGGAAAGGAAGGATTTGAACCAACACAGGACGCTGTTGGATAGAGGAAGATTTTGCAATTTGGTAAGAAGGATGTTATGGTCAACTGTATCAAACACATTGTAAAAATCTAGAAGGATGAGTATAGTAAGGTTTTGGTGTTCAATGAAGTTTTGGAGGTCATGGGTTATTTTAAGGAGGGCAGATCGCGTTGAATAGCCCAGTCGAAAGCTAGATTTGGAATGGATTGATGAGGGAACGTTCTTCTAGGAAGTTGGAAAGTTGATTTTGTACAAGGCGTTCCAGTGGATTTGAGAGGTTGGAAAGAAGAGAAATAGGACAGAAGTCGTTCAGTGAGGAAGGGTTAAAAGTAAAAGTTTTGTTCAAAGGTCGGACTTGTGCAGTTTTCTAGGAAGAGGGAAATACGGAATTTTGCAATGAAAAGTTGTAGATATAATAAAGTACTGGAATAAGGGGAGGAAGGCTGGATTTTAGGATAGTGAAAAGTACTTCATCGTAGGACACATGGGGAAAACAGAAGTTTTCAGGATTGAAATTGTGGTGTTTTCAATATCATGTGTAGGAGAAGTATTAGAAGAAAATAATAAGAAATGGTCATTAAGATCATCTGGAGTCACAGGGAGAGAAATGAGGTTATTGGAATCTGGTAGGGATTGATTACGAAGTATTTTCCATTTTGATTTGGAATCGGGAGCATTAGAAAGGACATTTTGGAAGTAGTTGGATTTAGCAAGTCGGATTGTGGATTGAGTTGCATTGAGAAGTTGTTTGAAAGACGCATAATCAGCAGGTAATCGGGCTCGACAGTATTTGCGCCTTGCTGCATTCCTTCTCTTTATCATTCCCTTTATTTCAGGAGTCGCCAAGGAGCAGTGGGACGACATAAGATTCTGGTTTTCAGAGGAGCATAGATATCTAATATGGATTGTAGGTTTGATGTAAGGATGAATATCATAGAGTCAATTGAGGTATAGGAAAATATGGTATCCCATTGGACAGAATCAAGGTCAGGTTGAAGGGATTCTTATGAAAGGAGGGTTAAATTGCGATATGATACTATTTTGGGAGTAAATGATTTCACGATATTTTGATGATTTTCTTAGATGTTAGGCAGATTCCGCCATAACTGAAGTTTTGATGCTCACGCATTTTAAACTCACTAGGTTGGCCACTAAAGAAAATTAAGAATTCTCCTGATTTGATAAACATGGAGTAAAAAATTATACTGGGGCCACCATGAAGACTGTCACATAGAAGAAAAAAAAATCGCAATTATTGCAACCCACCTAAATTTAAACATTGTATAAAATAAAATAAAGCAATCAATTTTATATTACAATTTATTTATAGTCCACAGCAATTAAATAAGAATTAGCCCTATAGCATAATTACTAAGTTAATATCCCTGACAGTGGAAGAGATTGGCTTAATAAATTAAACAATAAAAATAAAAGTCAAACATACTGTTCCATCTGGCACCTCTGGAAGTAGTACGGGGACTGGCAGTCTCCGTAAGGTAGATTTAGGATCTAAAAACGAATATGTAAAAAAGGACTAAGGAAGTTGTAAAAGTAGTGGCCGGTCTTTTGTCAGAAAGGACAAGTGGGTGGGTTAAGAAAAGGCCATTATACCTTAAATGATTACTAGTGGTAGTTGTGTAAATTGATTTAAGAGTTCGTTGAAGTATTAAATCCAATCAAGCGGAAAGGTCTTTGACTAATACTTGTAAATGTGAGCTATGGTGTAGGGAAATTGAAATCGGTGAAAGAGAACGTGTTACGATGAATGTATGTATACCGATAATAGTACATTTATTTCTCAATCATGGCCTAAAACTACTTTTGTTTCTTTCTTTATAATAATTATATTTTTTATTATTATTAAGTATTTTTATATTTTTTCCTAGGTAAAACAAAAAAACCTAGTACTAATACCTTGCTTTATCGTCGAACGGGTGAAGAAAGACAGGAAATCATAATTAAAAAAATTGGAATTCTATTGTTAGAAAAAGAAAATTTTCATGATCAGAGCTTGGAGAAACTTGAAATCAACTTCATATCATCAAATTTAGAAGGAGCGTGGAATAAGGTATTGAAAAAATAAAATTTCTTTGTAATTTTTTTTTATATATTGTGAATTCTGTATGGTTAACTTCTACAGTGTGAACAGATATTATGTGTTTTGATTTTTTATCTTATTTCCAACGTTTAATTGTCTAAAAAAAAAAAATACTACTGCAATCAAATTTATATTAATAATAACAAATACGTTTTAGAGATTCTTTAGAGATTAGATTATTCTCTTTTTAATGGTTTATTTCAATTTCAAAGAATCCTTTGAATGTTCTTTCTTTAATGTTTTATAACGCCACGGGGAAGTTTTTTAATTAAAATTATTATTTTTAATTAACAAACGGATAGCTAAAATAAATTTTGAAAAAAATCCCTATGTATAATAGGTGGAATATATATTTTATTCTTCAAATTTAAAAAAATTATCCTACAAACAGTCTCATTTTTGTTATTATCAACTCAAGAAACTTTTCGGTGCTTTCGACCATTTTCATCTTCGTTAATCTATATCCATTTATTTGGATGTCGTTTTTCTTTTAGATTTTTTTTCCTATTCCAATCATAGATTGTTGGTCTGTTTGGTAAAGGGGAGATCTTTTTTATTGCATTCCGGGTCATACTCTTAAGCTGTTTGAATGATAATTTTCTATATTTGAAAAAATCCTGCTTATTATTCGGGCTAATTATAATATATAATATTATATAACCAAAAAAAAAAAAAAAATTAAACAAGACTATCATCTTTTCCTAAATTCTCCATGAACAGTTATCAAAATGTTTGTGGGACTTCTTTGGAATGAGATAAGAGATAACAGTTATCTATAGTTCTTTCAAGTTAAATTTATTTTATTTAAATTATAAAGTTTTTGTTAAACTTAATTTATGTTTCTTCAATAACTAAATATGTCTGTAGAAAATAAAATCTTAATAAAAGTATAATAACAAGTTTTACATCATAATATTTTATATGTAATGTTCATCGCAGTTTCACTCAGACTTATCGCAATCTTTTTTTGGACATTTTTGAAGTATATTTTATGTTATATTACATTTACTTAATATCCTGTAGTTCACTTAGTGCATGAATAGAAAGTAGTTTTAAATATACTATAAATATTCTAACAAACATCCTAACCTAACCATCAACCTGTTGATACTATACTTCTATATATAAAAAAATATTTTATTATTATCCATTCTTCTGTAAGCATCAACTATAACCTGATTAATTTAATCTGCATTTATCCAATAAATATTAAATTCTTTATAAATTAATATCTTATAACAATGGTTAATAGTGTTGAAACTCTGATCAAGGAACCGTAAAACACATTTTTACCAATAACCATAACTAAAATTACTGAAAAAGTAGGAGAATTATAAAAAAAGAAGATAACACTTCAGTAATCAGCAGTGAAATCCATTAAAATAAAAAGGTCAACAAACAAATTAGACCTTGAAAAAATTATCAGAATCATTACCAAGATATGATTTTATTCAGACGTAGCTACTATCAACCAAAGACTTAAACTCTGCTCTGAAAAATGATAAATATGAAATAAAGGCATCTCTGCTTGACTAGTACTGAATAAATTCATTATCTCAGGACAAGTTATAACTGTAGAAGACATTCCACACCAAGAATAATAATTGAAAGCACCAATAAACATAACTAAAATTACTGAAAAAGTTGGAGAATCAGAAATTGAAGATAACCCTTTGTAATCAGTCTGAACTCATTGAGATCCTTTAAAAGAAAAAGGTCAACAAACAAATTATAACCTAGAAAACTGTCAGAATCATTATCAAGAAGTGGCTACTATTAACCAAAAAATGAAACTCTGCACTGATAAATGATAAATATAAATCTGCTACACCAACCATTACAACTAATAGAACAGGAAATACTTTGCTTTCTGTGGAAACCATTTTTTATTTCATATGAAAGGTATGCCGTATGTTCCACCGTGTTCCTGTGTTCTCTAAATCCTGCTTGTTTGTCAGAGATAGCTCGCTTAATTTCCAAGAAATTCTAAAGTCGAGACAATACTAGTCGTTCAAACAATTTTGAGAGCATGCTGGTGAGGGTCTACAGTGTTCTGGTTTGTTTGGAGTCTTGCCTTTCTTAGGAATAGAGATTATTTCAGTCTTCCGCCATGCACTTGGCAAGCCTTTTCTTCAGATCTTGTTCGTAAACCGCAGGAGAATAGCCCTCCCAGACTCCCCTAGATGTTTTATAAATTCGGGAAGGATATTATCTGGCCCTGCACTTTTTTTACATGACATCTTTTCAATAGCTGAATTTAACTCAGTAGCAGTGAATGGGGAACAAAAAATCGAAGTTTCTGATTCATTGAGACAGGTTGTAGATTCTTTAAATTTCACTTTATGATTGGGTCTTGTATGGTAATTACTAGCCTTAGAGTAATATGAACAGAAGAACTTGGCAATAGCCAAAGTTGATGTAAGAATTTTTCTGGACGCCGTTACAAAAGGTTATTCTTCTTAGTTTCTGTGTTCTTGTTGATTTTAGAAAGGAAACTGTGAGCTTGGACTCCATCTTTCCTCAAATCTAGCTTTTCCAAGAATTGTCTGTAGGAACTTCTTTTAGCCTCAATTATTTCCCTTCTTAGGCAAGCTCCTGTAGCTTTCAGACGTGTTTTATCACTCTCCTATCTGCTGTTTAGCAACCTATAAAAATCTCTCACTTGCTTGCATCTTAGGTTTTGTTTTGGGGGAATTTTCAAGAGCTTAGCAATATACAGGAGAGCGGTCACAAATTATTAAATTGACTTGCTGGAACATGAAATTATGTACATAACTTAAACATGGTCCACAAACTGCTAAATCTCTTTATCAGCATTCCAAAACTAAAAAGTAATCTGCTCTGCCTTGAAAGAGAAATCTAATGCCGACCGGCCACCGAAAGCGCAGCAGAGCTGAGCTGAGTCAGCTTCCAAAACCGAACCAAAGGTTTTTAATGACAGGCCTGTCGCGTAGCAAAGGTGTCATCTTTGGATCGACTGGGGTTCGGTTTTGGAAGCTAACTCTGCTACGCTCAGCTTCTCCCGCCACTGTCTCACAATGTGGGGCTTTGTTCTTCGGTGTCATCCTTTTTTTTCCACTTGTTTTCACTACACAACCTCTCAAATTATTTTATTTTGGTTCAGTGTAAAATATGCATGGATGTGGAAGAATTTTTGGAAGAATTGTGGAAGAAGAAAGAATGAATGTGTACGGGAATATATTCAATTTTTCTTTTCAATTCTGACATAATCAGCTTTGCTAATTTTTTAAAATATTTTATATGCTATATATATTTTTTAAAAGTGTTATGCGGAATATGAGAGGGATGCCAATGCAAGGCAAGTTGCTGACTGAGCTGAGCTCCCTCCACTACACAATCGGTTGCCAACCCCCTCTTGCTACGTTCAGCTCAGCTCAGCTTTCGGTGGCCGATCAGCCTAAAGGTTAGAACCTCTGGAGGAGATGCAGTTCTATTTAAAGAATATTATAATATAAAAACTTTAGCCATATCTCCCTACTGGATTAATTGTCTTGCTGAAAAGGCAGATATATCTATCGTTATTGTAATTTTCCATTTCAGTCCTGTGATTTGTAATTCTTCAGGCATGTGTTAATTTGTATTTATTATTTTCTGTTAAACAAGACTAAGAACTCATGTATGTGACAGTTATATCTTTGATTTTATTCTTAATGATATTTTAAGCTAGACAAATTTTGTCTAGTATAATAAATTATTCTTCATAATGATTATTTTTGTACAAGAAATGTTTATTTTCTAACGTCTTCTTAGTAATGATTATAAATACAATTTATTTTCTCTCTCTCTCTCTGTTATTGAAATAAAATTGAATTTCATATTTTGCAACCTTTACGAGGTTGCTTGCTAATTTGTTGTCATCTAGTAAATCATAGAGAATTCCATTACAGCCAATTTCGACATAGATTATTAACAGATATTACTAAAAAGAAAGACAAATTTTAAACAGTTTGGCTTGATGTTGAAAATTTTAGAGTTTTAATGCTAAATAACTTATTGAAATAAAACGTATATCAATTGTTGACAATTTTTTCTTAAAGTATGTTGGTGTAATTATTTTGTTACCTCATTGTTGGCTGTTATGGCTTATTTCAGAATTCTACTCTTTGGGAACTTTCTAAAATAGAAGTGAACGACCTTGATGAGTTTTACGTATCAACATTAGAAAAATTTTTCGATCGGCCTCTAGTTGCTATTGAACAACCTGTACCTACTATGTCTGAACATATTGAGGTTAGTATTTTTAAATTTTATGTATTTCTCTCTATTGTATAAAAAAGTTTTTAAAGGAAGGAGATAGTCTGGGGGGGGGGGACGGTCATAAATAGGCTAAATAGTGGCAAAACTATTTTATTAAAAGCCAACGTTTCGATCCGACTTTGCAGGTCTTCTTCAGGGAGGTGTGTTCAGCTCATCAAAATGATCGTGTGTACGAACACAGCTATAAAGAAGCCCCGGAAATCATTGGAAGAGTGCAAAGAGGTCATTACCCTTCCTCAGTGATGGTTTGGTGGGGAGTTTGCTTTGATGGCACCACAAAGCTCCATTTTATGTAAAAGGAGTTAAAACGGCCGCTAAAAACTATCAGGACGATATTTTGGAACCTGCTGTCAAGCCTCTAAATGATACTCTGTTTGTTGGAAGTCATTGGGTTTTCCAGTAGGATTCCACTCCAGCTCACATGGCCAGGTCAACTCAGCAGTGACTGCAAAAGAACATTCCAGAGTTTATCTCTGCCTTGGATTGGCCCTCATGAAGCCCTAATCTCAATCCACATGATTTTCGGCTTTGATCCGAACTGGAGAGGATGGTATACCACGGAGCACACCCTAACATGGAAAACCTCAAACAATCTCAGGTCCGAGCAGTTGAATGCTTTCCTAGAGAAGTTCTGCTTGCTACTATTGATGACTGGCCACGGAGATGAAATGCTTGTGTCAAGGCAAAAGGGAGACATTTTGAGTAATTTGTTTTATTTTTTTACTCTCTATAAATATACATTTTATTTTCGAATAAAGTTTTTGAAAAAATTAATTTTTCTGTTAAAATCTGTATATATTTTCTTGTAACAATATTTATAACAGGACTTGGTAGATAACAGGTAGAGAACTTGCGCCCTCTTGGCCGCAAGTGCCCTCCGTGAGCTAGCTGCTTATATTTATTAATCTAGTCCTAGAATTAATTAGTATTTAATTATTTAGGTTGAAAATTAATATAATAAGTTAAGTATAGGTATATGGGTGTGTGTATTTAGTGATGAACAAAAATAGGAACAATCAATAAAATATAAATAATTGTTGCGACCTCCATTAGCACTGCTTAACCTTTCTGCAGCCTCTAATGATTAAAGGTCTGTTTTATAGATGTCATGAAATCAATTGTATTTGGATTCAGTCAGCTCCTAAAAATAAAAAAAGAAAACTGCATCACCTCTGATATATTTAATATGAAACCATTGTTCTTTTTTGTTTAACCATAGCAAACAGTTTTATTTATTTTTATTTTTTTTCTTTGGCTGTTGGGAACAAACTACTTTCAACTATTGTTAATTTTATTAAATTCCAACAATTTCATTTCAAATTACAACACAATTGAAAACATGCTGCCTCTACTTTAAAATCGGGTTTGAGCCTCAATAAGATAAACTACATGTATGGTGCAATAGGCCAATACGATATGGGATTTTGAACCATATGAAATAAAATCCAAAATTTGGCAATGCGTTGTCCCCTAAGTATAAGAAGTTATAGAAAGAAAGAAAGAAAAATAAATCTTATTCTGGGACATTTAGTCCCCTTAGAATAAATTTAATGAACAAAAATATGAAAATTGTCTAACATTATAAAAAAAAAATAAGAAAAATTTTAGGTAACATAACATAATAATCTAACCTTGTAATTAAAATAAATTAAGTACGAGTAAACATATTGATGATGTGTAATAACAGTAACATAACAGTCAAATGAGAGTGACAGCTCTTTAATACGGAATTTTATTCTGCATGTATTCGGAACATTGATTGCTAAGGAGATGAATGAATAAATAAGGTTAAAGAAGTGGGTTTGTGTATTGAGATAGGTAGGGAATTACAAAAAAAGTTAACACAAATGATAAATGATTTGTTAAAAGAAACGGTTCTATGAAAGGGAATGAACAGGTTTATGGACTGGGATCTCGTATTAAACGAACAACAGAGGAACAAGGAGAAAACAAATCAAGAAGTTAAGATGGCTTTTTGGTTGTAAAGGTTCAGAAAAGGAATTACACCTAGGAAATATTGCTGCCCGAAATCTGGATAGAGTTACTTCAACAGGAGACGTGGGAGCGCCTGGGGACTCCAAAGATAAAGCAAATGAAACAATTCATTAATCTTTTCAATCTGATCTCAAGCCTACTAGGCAGTCCACTGTATACACATAATCGAAGTGAAGAAAGATGAGTGAGGAAACTAGGAGTTGGCACGTGTTTTGGGGGCATAGAATCACGGAATCTCAAGAACTGTTTTAGAATAGCAATAGATTTTCGGAAAGCAATAAAAAAAAATATTAGAATTGGTTTAGATTTAAGATATGTGACTAAAAATTTACTTTTTATCAACTTTTTAAAAATGACAGATGTCCATCTTTGATATGATGCCAATCATATTTTTTGGTTTTGACTTATTTGTTTTAAATTTAATCTAACAAACGGTACTACTGTACAAATGTTAATTCACTTTCATCCGTGCAAGTGATCCAAGATCCATGATCATACTAAAGGTCCCGATCTCCACTGAATATGACTTTTTGGGTGTTTATACATATCTTAAGAGCGAGCAGGAGTCGAAAGCAACTGTGTAATTAATCTTTTCGCTGCTGCGAGTGATAAGCTTTAAATCTACCACAGTGATAAGTAAGACATTGGCCCGTGCTACATACTTTTTATTTGCTTTCCGCCTTTCGCTAGTGGTTCTTACTACTACCTGTTACCTTATTTTATTGTTTCCGTCCTCCTTTTGATTTGGGGCAGAGTTAAAACTTTTTTTTTGTCATATACTTTTAAATATTTATTTAATAATTTAATTTTGTATGGTACACTTCTAGGCATTTGTCAATGCAAAGAGAAACATTTTTTTTTTTTTGTGGCAAAATGCACTGCTGCCAAGAAGGTCTATTGTACGTATAATTTAGTGTCGCTCTTATTCAGAGCATTATTTCAGCAGTCTCTACAAACTGAAGTAGGTTTGTTGGATTGACAAGCTCATTTGTTTTGGGTTTAAATACCCTATCATTGCCGAATGATCGGAATCTTAACTCACTTGTCACACATACAAAGAGACGACTCCGTTAGCCAGAGTTTGAACATGTGATAATTCAGTTTACAGTGACCAGTATATATTGCTGTAATTTTCTTAAGAGAGCTCCTGCTCAAGGTTATTAATAGATTGTGTAAAGAAACCTTACTATTGCAACATTCTACGCTTGTGTCATGTAGTATATTTTTTTTAGAACATGCCATACATCGGTACATATATTTTTACATATATTCTTCTAAAACGATGAGATTAGGAAAATGTCTCTCCTCCAGGCATAGAGACAAATCTTTATTAGACCTTCTCCCTCTTCCTGATTTCCTTCTTTCTATACAATGTTTTTCCAAAATTTGCCTTATAAGAGACAAATGGAACTTCTCTATTGGCATGTTTTACTCAGTCACAATTTTGTGCAGTGTATGAGCATTTAATACAGATAAGTCTAAAATATGAAGAAATAATTTTTTGTATCACTTATCGGTTTTCCTGATTGTATAGAGCTCTTTGCACTTTTCCCACAGCTGCCATATTTTGATTGTATTCAATTACACATTTTGGTTTTTTTATTCATCAGTTTTATAGTATTTTTTTACCAGTTTAAGTGATTTCCACATTATGTATAGTGGATAACATCCAAACTGTCGGTCTGACGACTTCAGAGCGAATAGTGTGTCTGTGGACCCTGAATTCAATCTGTCCCTTTTTTAAACGCTCCTCCATTTTCAGCAAATCTGTTGCCATGTTGTCAAACCAACAAAACAGTGCTGGACTGGTATACCAATTTTCGACATATATATATATATATATATAATATATATATGGTTGCAAAAATGTCAATACAATGGCCCAACTTGCCAATATTTCCAATATTATGATCGATGATGTCTGACTTTGTTCCTGTGTACATGATGAAATCAATAACATATCCAGCTTTGCAGTCACGCAAAACATAAGTTTTTATTCAAAATTTAGCCCTTTTAAAGTACTATTTCACTGGTACTGCCCTCTACATTGACTGCCATTCTGTAGTCAAACTGTTAATGCTTATCTATTTCACTGAAACTGCTCAGTTTCGTGGCTTGATCCTCTCGATTTATCATCCTATTTTGGAATAATTTTAAATAAAAATGATTGCCTTAAATTTAATGATTTTGGTTTTGATCGGAAGGACCGCAATACATATGATGGTAGATTTTATTTAATAACAAGGTTAGGTTATGTCTATACCATGAAATGTTAACAATTATCTACATATTAATTCCCACCTTCTGCAAAATAATTGTTTCTTGTAATATTTTGAATATAAAATATAAGCCTCATAATAAAAAGAATATGACAAAATATTTTTAAGAATTGAGGATATATCTCTTGATTTCAAATTTATTACATATTAATTTGATTAGTAATAATATTTATTTTTTATATAATTGATTAGTAATAAATATATATTTGTAATGGAATCACAGCAGGCAATGTTTTAATGTTTTATCAATAGTTAATTAGGTAATCAACACTTTAATTAAAAATACAAATTTATTTTTCAATATCTGGATTTGAGTAATTATCAGAAGTTAAAATTGTTTGGATTATTTAATGCCATTTTAACGACATATAGAAAAGGATTCTAGATTCTATTGAATTTAGGTATATTTGAATTTCTCTGTAAAATAATTACCGTACTGCCCATAGCTTCACTGCTTCGGAAGCGGTCAGAAAGCAGCAGTTTACATATGATGTCATACCTAGACTGCCAACGAAATAGTAAGTACCTTTAGATGGAATAAATTGTTTAAAAAATAAATTCTGCTTGAATAATAACCGCCATTCATCGATGTAGACAGTTTTGAAAGTGAAAATGACTCTTTGAACGATTTTCTAATTTTATCAACGAATGGCCTTATTTTGAACAGCCTGTCTCCTTTCTTGGCCTGGTTGTTATTGT